TACTTACCCACATCATGAGGTAAATTCTTTCTTTAAGTCAGCTTTCAAATCAATGTACATACAACTGAAGTAAAGCTTCTAAATACAAAGTGACTTTACCAGATCTGAATAATAGCAAAGATATTCTTAATTATAGTATTTACAACTAAAGAAGTATTCTATCATTTTTTATTTCATATTCAGACATAGGGCAATTCCCCATAGTCCCAGTGGGTGATGTTAACATAAGTAAATTCTGGCCCATACTTTCATGTTTTCATATGTGGAATTGTGATAGAAAGCATTTCTACAGACCAGTGATTTTCCTGAAAACAAGTCTCAATCATTTTACAGCAAAACTAGTAAAGAAATATTCAAAAGTCTAACAACCTCCACCAGTTGCTTTTGATGCAAGAGTAGGTTGTTTTCCAACTTCTTCTCATCAAAGAGGAGAATTATTCAATATTTTCTTGTCCTGGAGTAAGTAGGGGTGTCCTGGGATTCTAACCACTTCCATGGGCTTACAGGCAACTAGAAGATACTAGGAAAAGGACTGTGTGGGGTTAAACTTTGCATTATCTCATCAGCATTCAGCACCACTGCTATGCCATGAAGGAGAAAAAATAACAGAGAAACATGAGAAGAGGAATAGATAAAAGGCAAGCACTCAGAGGAAAAACATGTTTCTTAATTGAGCTGGAAAGAAAGAAGAGGAGGAGGGGAAGACATTGCTTGCAGCACTCTTTTGATGAGAAACCTTTTTGTGCCCATGACTATGTAGGTTAAAAATGCAGTGCTACCTCTAACAGACATTCACATTGCAATTCTTATGTGGTAAATCAGTGGTGAAAATTCAGGAAGAAAATAAGAAAGAAGGGAGAAAAAAAAGATAATGTGGTTCCACAGTATGAACATTTCTAAGATGTTCAGGGTCAATTCTTCATGTGAATTAGGTCATCATCATAACTCCTTTGAAGTCACTGATGCTATGTAAGTTTACATCAGCTAAGGTTTTTACTCTCTTTTTTCTTTCTCCCAGTCCTCTCCTCCTCTCTCCCCCACCACATCCCAAAGAATCCCTGGCTGTGTTTGTAGCTCTATTATCACGTGTTGATACAGTATGCAAAATGATCAGGGCAAGGAGGAGGGAGACAAAAAAAAAAAAACAAACTCACGAGTGTATTAGATTCAACATCAGTGCACTGTCTCATACCTGAAAATTTTTCTGAACAATCCGAATTTCATATCTTATTGGTGCTTCTGGACTTAACGGACTTTTGTTGTTGTTGTTTGTTTACTTTTAACGTGCCTAGATCCCTGTCCATTATCTATCTCTGTTGCTAGAATTGATCTCACAAGATCGAATTCTGAAATGAAATTTTCAATATACTCCATTTTCAGACCTAGAGTAAATATGACAAGAACAAACACTGTGATGAGAAGAACAGCCACTGTAATGGCATGTTGGCACTTCTGTTTCCAGGTGGCAGGGGAGAGCACAGAAGCTAAAAGAAAAGAAAGTAAATAAAAATAAAATAAAATAAATAACATGCAGGTACACCAAATCTCCTTGAACTTAGGAGAAAGTATGGCTGGTTTTGGGGCAGAGGTTTGACTCTGTTCTTATTTTAGCTAGACCTAGTGCAACGCTTTCTAATTATACAATAAACAATCCCTCTTGGATGGAGCTGCCTGTCAGCCCACTCTCCAGGAGAAATCGCCATCTGGAGCACTCTGCAGATGGCGGGGCAGTGGCATGCGCACAGCTGTGCGGGGCGAGCACACAGGTGTTTCAGCCTGCCTGCAGTAGGCAGTGAGCAGGCAGCCTGCTGCAAGGGGAGGAGAGGCATTTGCACCAAAGGTGAAGGAAAGCACTGAGATGGGATTTGACAGGAAATAGCAATATTGATAAGCACTATTGATGAATAATAATAAAGTGTGGGGAGGGGTTGTTTTTTTTGCTATTGTTTTTTTGGGGAGGGATTTTTCTTTTACCAGATTAGTATTTTACACTATTTCAGCATGAGAAACAAAGTCTGGTCTCACTTAGGCTATGAGGAGACTACAATTATGAAATATGCACATAGCACATAAGAGGTAGCTCAAAAATCACATGAAAATAGCAGTGAAGACGGAGTTGCTTGGGCTTACACATGATGTAAATGCACTTACTTGAGGCATATACATAGCGCTAGTTTCTATTACCAGATTTGCTCTGCTCTTATTCCCAGGAACTACTGCTACCTGGTTCAACATGGCTCAGTTACACCTTTCAGAGTTACGATTCCCGGCCAAATATACTGCTTAGACTACAGAGAATGCAAAGTCACCTCACTGACGTGATCTGAGCTTCTTTTGACTTCTCTTGGTGAAACAGCTACTGAAAGCCAAGCTTATTTCTCTCACAGCTGAATCTGAAAAAAGATACATTTTGTGCTTTCATCCGCTGAATCCTACACACAGCTGCATCCAGATTCAGAGATACATGCGAACACACAAATAGCAGAGCTGTGATTTGGTGAATATAAAGGAAATGTACGTTGAGAAAGCTATTGCAAATTATCAGAGAGTGGCTTTTTTTGTTATACAGAAAACATTTATTGCCAAATATTTGCATAGTTTACTAGAATTAAGATTTTCTTCAAAATAAAGGAAATGTCAAGCATTTGTTTTATACAAGGTCAAATTGTTAAAGGATTGATTTTCATCCAAATTCAGGATTTTGGTTTAATATTTCATTACAATTATAGAAGTCAAATTTTCCTAAAACTATTTTTGGATCTTGGTAAATATGTGTAGACTGTTGTTTTGCTTTGGAGTGAAAAAATTTAAAAGTAGAAAATTTTGAGGAAGAATGTATTTTTAAAACATGACCTTATGAAAATTAACATTTTGGAAAACGTATTTGCAATTTTTATTAACTGTAGAACTATACATACTAATGGAAAGCAATGTCAATTTCTTTATACTCAAATATTCTTTTACAGTGTATGCACTCTTGACTCTGACAGTTTAACAAAAGCAATGACGAATAATTACCATGAATCCCAGCAAAGTATTTCAATGTCACCACCTCAACTATATAAAATGAAAGAATATATACATTTGAAAGAAATGAAGTAAAGCATGTGCATATTTAAAAAAACCAACAAAAAACAACAAAAAATCCACCACAGTTATTATTCAAAACCAGGTAAACAAGGAGAACGATTTAGCACAATGGCCAGAGTATCAAAAGCTTACACCAAGGTAAGCCTCTGGCCTGGGCTGGAGTCTGGGCTGGGAATGAAGCAAAAGTGTGTTATACATCCTGAATTTTGGGCAATTACTCTTTAATAAATCATAAAATGTTTATCCTATTAGTCTTGACAAGCACTGAGTGTCACAGAAAGTCAAATATAGGATTGATCACATCTTAATTGCATAAAAATTAGGCTTCTTCTTGGACTTCTCCTGCCATTCCATAGAGCAATAGAAATGAGGAAAAAAATGCCCCCCGGACTTGCCTTTTTCTCTTCACTGATTACAGAAGGAGCCTAGAAAACTTGCTTAGACTAAGCTGGCTTTTACAAAGCTGTACTAACAGGGTTGAATCCCATCTGTGGGGTGAGACTTACAGACAGTTACAGTTATAAGACTTAAAAATTCACTGTGCATAGGCTTTCCAGAAAGCTATGTTTCTAAATTACTATATTTGTGGTTTACTTTAATGTCTACCAAATAAATGGACAGGTATATTAGCAAAACGCCAGCTGATTAACTCCTTTGGTCCTCAATGTGTTTTTTAAGCATACCTTACAATCTCTTTGTTTGTTTTTTGTTGGCACATACTCGGAAAAGCAATTATGGTGATATTGAGTTCAAAAAGAAGAATAACTGTGGCAAAACCTTCAGTAAAACTGGATATGATTCAGAGGAAGAGAAAATAGCCCCTAACGTACTTACATTGCCATATAAATACGTTTCCTGTCTGTAACTAGTAACTAGTGATTGTTTTATAGTCGGAGGCATGAAAGTAGTTCTTGTATTTGTACGAAGTAAAGGAAATTACAGATGGTATTCAGGCTCATACCTGTCATCTATATTAGATTATTGAATATAATTTATCTAATAAATATAATTTAACAATATGTTCCACTGATTATATTCCTAAGGGGAGAGGAAACTCTCCAGATGAAGTTGTGGTGTGTGATAGAAAGGTTTAAGGCTTCACTGACAAAGCAGACCTTTGTTCATGGCACCACTGGGTTTCACACTCCTCCACCTCCCAACTAAACACGTAGGAGCAAGTTTAAAGCCGTTGGGCATCTGAATTTCCATTAGCAAAGTCTCACAGGCACTCAATCCTGGCACATGAAACTATCTAATTCTTCTAGCATTAAACAGTGAGGTGCCAAGATCTAGCCTAAATCCCGACTTGATTAATAAAAGGCATATTTCCAGAAGTATTTTATCAGGGTGGATTTATGGTCCACCTAGTCTCTCAAGAAAGGCAAAATTGTCATATCTTTGAGTAATCTGATGGTGAGAGAGATGTGAGGGAGCTTAGTTTTGATTCATCTCCTGGCTGAACCCATACCTCACTGATGAGTGCCCTCAGTAAGGTACTCCGGGATAGGAGCATCTCAGCCTCTTCTACCTCATGGCCTGTCTCACTTCCCAGGAATTAAATACTGATGGGGCTCAAAGGAGAGCAGAATGACTCTGTAGCATGTTGGTTAGAGCACTCACCTGGAATACGGGTTCCTTCCCTTCTCAAGTGACCATTTAAATAGTCCAAGAAGTGTGAAACAGCTTCAATGTGGAAATGGAAAGATACCCTTTTCTTCAAGCAGATGGCTTCAATTTTCTTAGTACTTGATTTATACCCCTTTGGGAAAGAGGGATGGGAGCTGAGGGCGAAAGGCTTCCATATACCTTGCCACATCTTAAGCAAGTGCTCTAAGTGAAGTGTTGGGGGATAAAGAAAGGACAGAAGGGCAAAGATCTATTGAAAAAAACAAACAACTTTTTTTTTTTTTAAAGATTGGTTTATGTGCTTATGTGAATTGCCAGTTTGGCACTTCTCAGTATTACAGACTTAAAAACCTAGTTTCCCCAAATCGGACAGCTGTCAACTGTACTGCTCTCTTTGGAAGAATACATCTTTTAGGAGTTTCTTGTGAAATAGGTCCCTTCCACATATCCATGAAACTTAAAGCACATATAACTGCAGGCTGCTGTCCCACTCTTTCTTCCCCGACGTCAGACACTGCTATGATTTGCTTCTGACAGACTCTGGCACTTGTTGGACTCTTTACTGAGATGTCTCAACTCAATAAATCAAAACAAATTGGACAAAAAAAGTGATGAATCAGTGTACTGAGAGACCTTAGTAAATGCTCCTTACTGGAGCAATACCGGAGCTGGAGCGACTCAGGGACAAAAACAGTAGAGAAAAAGGCAAGATCAGAGTGCTGAGCAATCAAAATACTTACGCTGCTGAAGAACTTGAGTCACAGCATTTTGGCTTTGTGTCCTCCTTTAACGGCCTTGATTTCCCCAGGCATGTAAAATGTTTATCCCTGCAATCACAGTACACAATCTGACGTTATGAAACTTATTATACAGCAGTATACCTGAAAACTAAGCATCCAGATGTCTCCTGTGGGTCTCTCCAGTTTTGCTTTTCTGAGTCTCATAAGACAGAATGCAAACTGGAATCAGGAAATAAAATAGAATACATTGTCGAGGGATCATTCATCAAGTCCTTACTTGTAACTCCACTCAAGCTTCTTCATAGCTTAAGTAAGAACAGAAGCAATTGACTCTTTACGTTGTAACGTTACAACATCACCTCTCTCTTATTTCTGGGTTTGCTTTCTTTATTTCCAGATTGAGACTCTGACCTTACAAGCATTTAATTTTGAGCATGTGAGTAGTTCCATGGAGTTCAAGAAGGGCAACAGAAATGACCAGAGACATCTGACCCCAATCTAAACCGTAATCCTGTGAAGATTTTTGAGTATGAAATCAATATGACTATTCACACAGTTAAAGATAGGAATGTGAACTCTTTATAGGGTTGGGACCTAACTAGGATAGACCTTTCTAATTTCATCTGGTGCAGGAATGACATGTTTCTGACAATTTTGTTGCTCTTCTTATAACCTTGCATGTTATTGTTTTGACTTTGGGAAAGATGACTTTCAAGCAGGACCAAATGTGTTTATATGAGCCTTCCATCACCTGCCTCTCAATATTTTGTAATTTCCACAGTTCTGAAAACTAGAACTACATAATAATAAAATAATGCATTCAATTGCAGTGTTGAACCTTCATAGAATATTGTATCATTGTATACATGTATATGCACACAAGCACAAACATACAGTCTTACATTTATCTTAACAAAAGAGAAAATGAAGTTAAAGGAAAGCCAGTTCTTCAGTTCTTTCTACAGCTAGTAATGCCTAGATACATCTACTTTACTAATATGCAAGAAGTGGACACTAGGTCAACTTGCTTTAGAAATCTATTCTTGGGATGTATCTTTGCAGTTCTTTTGAAAATCCAAGTCTAGGTATTGAGGGTAACATATATACTACCTAAATCCAAACAAAGTCCCTCAAAGAAATCTTACATATACATTCTTTAAAAAAATGTCGAATTCCTAAGGCATTTAAATTAGGTGTTTTCATTCCTAGGTTAAAGTCCCTAGGTGCCTAATTTTAATTGCCCAGGCATGGGAATTGCATTCACACCTAGGCAGTGTGAACAGACATCTGAGCTCTATCTAGATCCTTAAAGGAGCTCAACAAATATGAACTATAAGACTATAATTAGCATGCTCTGATATGCTGGCCATTGATTGTGATATAACAATAATTTTTTTTTTTTTTTTTTTTTTTTTCTATAGAGTACTGTGATAAACATACCCAGAAGGCAGGAGTCTTAGGTTCAGGACTACTCAACAAGGCCAGGTTGAATACTTGACCCCTTCTTGTTGAGTATAGCTGGCAGAGTTTCCTGGCTAAAAATTCTGGTCATCCTTTTCTTTCTGTGCTGATCTCCTTTACCATGATGTATAACTCAAGCAGTTAGGAGTCATAGGACAAAAGGAAAGAAAATCAAAGATGCTGTGATTTTTATCTGTTAAGAAAGGAATTGGTTGGGGTAGAGGAATGAAAATGAAATTGCTGTCCCTAGTTTGAGTCTGGAATCTTAATTCTGCTTCATCCCCCAAAGCTGCCCTAACTGCTGACTTCCCACACAAAGAACGGCCACCAATTCTACAAGAGCAGTTGTAAGCAGAATGGATCGCAAATGATTAAGATACCTCATGGTTCTTCTTCATTCCTCCATTCTCAGAAGAAGAGGTAAGAACAGGTAAATCCTAACATCAGGATAATGTGAGGGA